GTTCCTCCAGTTGAGCTATAGTCTAAACTCCTTAATGGGGGGTTATATAGGGGATTATATAGGGGACTACTATAGGGGTTATTAAGGGGGATAATAGGAGTTTAGACTATAGCTCAGTTGAATTCTTGTACAGATAGATTGCCTAGCACTCTCCGCTTTGGTGCGAGAGTCCAAGTCGATAGCTACCAACGGTTGTTGGATAAACCCAGCTACCACTGCGCTGATGTTATAAGGGCTGCACAGAGCAGTCTCCACGATCACTACCACCACCAGTGTGGTCTTGAGCAGTTTTGCAACGTTGTGGCAACCGTTCCGAGCTGGTGAGGGCTTTCAGAAAAGAGCACAAGTGCGTTGGCTGTTACTACAATTATCGCTATCATTACCATTATTATTACTATACTGCTCTTCTATAGTTACTGTTATTTCTTTGGTTGTTTGGAAAACTGACCTGGTGGAAGCTGAGGTTGGGTGACCAGAACTTAGACTCACTTCAGCGTCTCTACGGCATTGCCTTCCCCAACGACAAGCTTCTGAAGGACATGCAAGAGGGGCAGGAAGCGGCAAGGATTGGGCATGCACACTGTCCGCTTTGTTGAGCTTTGCGTATTCTGGCATGGCCTCAGGAGTACAAGAAGTTTCAGGAGGAAGCTGCGAAGCGAGATCACAGGACGGTTCCATAGCCTCTACACTTAGCTGAAATTTCATCTGGTAATCTATCGGGTGATGGGCGGTACTCCAGTGTGAGCAATGCGTGGAATCTACTCAGACGGAAGTCTCCGGCATTGCCGGAGTTGTTTCGGGGCGAGCCAGGTTGGGAATCAAATGATACAACCAATTCGTTCTGGACTCGCAGGGCTCAGTTGCACCGGATTTGGGTTCCTGTCCTTCAGTCCCTAAATGTCCCTAATGACATTCATCAAGCAGAGCTCAAAGCACTCGTTTTCACATTTCTGCTCCTCGTCGTCAAATCATACTGCGTCAGCTCCAGTCGTGGTGCAAGCAAAAACCAAGGCCGATGACCATCAAGAATCTACTTTCTCGTCTGTGCCATGCAAGAAGGGTTCTGTCATCAAGTCTTCCCAAATTAAGGAAATGCCTCAGAAGCTATGATCAGGCTGAAACATGTGCAAGAGGGTAAGTGGCTACCATTTGAGGACTGTACAATTGTACAGGATCATGGCCTGATGGCATGTTGCAATGCGTTCAGCGCAAGAAACAAGCCTTCCAACTTGATCCCCTGAAAGGAATATTGGCAAAGCACAGGAACTCTTTATGCTGGGGCCCTGGCTGCTACCTAACTAGGACTATCCGGGACTATCTGAATCCTTGAGCCGTTGAGGTTCCATCCTGTGATGTCGCCGGGCAGCTGCTTCTGGTTTCCGCTGGGAGCGAGGACACCTTCGAAAGCCCTGGGCAAGTGCATTCAGGGTTTCCCAGTGCACCTTGTTGGGGTCCCCATAATAAGGATTGTAGCATTTTGTAGTCTATTTTGGGGTTTCCCTAGAAACTACCATCCATAGGCTGCATCGTCCTGCCACCAAGTGGGCCATCGGGCCATCATCGCCTTCGCATAGGATCTACAACAAGCTCATGGACTTCATGCGCTCAGAATACCGCCTGCGGGGCTTCTCTGCACGAGCCCCAGGGTCCGTCAGGCTTCGAGGGGAGTGAGAATTAAGCGGTTCGACATTCATTATCATTATTATTATTTGTATGATTATTATTGTTATTGTTCCTCCTATTATTAGTATAACTATTACTGCTATTACTGGAGTATTAGTATTTCTAGTGTGCTTCTTAACCTTGCAGCCCTTCGTTCTGATAGGGCAGTTGAGGCTAAGCTAGCCAGGGCTTTCACACTTCGGCAACACTCTGCACCACACTGGCCTTTGGAAAGCTAGGAATGAATGAATGGATCTTTACAGTAGTCCCTATGTAGCCGATTATAGTAGTTTCCATTTTCCCGAATGCGTAGCAGAAGGGTTCCCGTTTTAAGGTTGGGGTCCAGGGGCCCAGGAGGCGACCAAAAGTCGTTGCGTTTATGTTCGCCAAGCGTCCGCAAGCATCTGCAAGCGTATGCAAGCGTCTGCGAGTGTCGGAGAGTGTCGCGCATCGTCGGGAGTCGCAAATCGTCGCGAAACTCAGAACTGTCGTCACTTTTTACGCTTCGCGTCTCAAAAGTGTCAACAGTCACGGGGATCGGGGGGGTCGTGGTTGCGAAACGTAGAACTGTCGTCGCTTTTGGACTCGTCTCGTCTCTTCGCGTCTCAAAAGTGCCAACAGTCACAGGGATCGGGGGGGTCGTGGTCGCGAAACGCCGAATTGTCGTCAGAGGAGAGAGGAGAGGAGAGAGGAGAACGGAGAGGAGATAAGAGAGAGGAGAGGAGAGAGGTTAGGAGATAGAGGAGGGGAGAGATGAGAGGAGAAAGAAAACAGAGGAGAGAGGAGAGAAGAGAGAGGAGAGAGGAGAGTAGAGAAGAGACAGGACAGGACAGGAGAGAGAAGAGAAGAGAAGAGAAGAGAAGAGAGAGAGGAGAGGGGAGAGAGGAGAGAGGAGAGGAGAGAGAAGAGAAAAGAGACAAGAGAGAGGAAGAGAAAGAGGAGAAAGGGATGACCCAGGACCTAAGTCTCTTAAGTGGTTTCGCTCGTGGGGTGTCATTATCATTGCATGTACGTGTCACGTGTCTGCATTCCGGTTCGTGGCTCCTATCTGGTTTTCCCCTTATCCCTATATAACCCCAACACATACCTCATCATAATCCCTATATACCCCGTATATAACCCCTGTAACTGTAGTTTCCATTTTCTTTTCCATTCCTCCATTCCCAGCTAACCATAGGCAAGCACAACACCATCTTTGCTCTTTTTCCTTGGCACGTTGGAGGGGGGGGTACGAGTTCGGATCTGTGGCTTGAAGCTGCACGACAGCGACACACAGATGATGAGAAGAAAGCTAGCTGATCCCTTCTTTAATGTTGCCATCCCCAGCGGCTAGTGGAGTCAAAGCTGTGACTCGCCAAATGCTGCTTTGCAGGAAGTCGTCACGCCGAATATGCACCTGAGCTGAAAAAGCAACATTCCGATCGCAGCAAGGCGAAAGGGTGACAGTACGAAGGTGAAATCAGGGTTTAGGGTTAGGTATGCCCAGGCTCAATTCGCTTTGAATCATCAAAGCTCTTGTGTCTTGTGCACGTACAAGCAGGACGCTTCGATGCGTGTCAGTGGTATGAGCTCTAGTCTAAACTCCTAGTATCAGCCTTAATAAAACCTGAAGTACTCCCTATAGAACCCCATTAATCCTTTTCACAGCCCCATTTAAGGAGTTTAGACTATAGACCATATCAGGAGGGATGAGGCAAATTTCCACCACAAGCGGCAAGTTTGCTCCAGCGGTGTGTCTCCAAGGTATGACCATCGATGTTTCCTGACGTCTGGTCACTATCAGAACTACAAGGCTGTGTGTCTTGAGCATGTCCGCGTAGGGATGGTACCATCCAAGATTTGTGTTAGCTATCTCCATGATGCACCTTCATAATTGCTTCAGGACGACATGTACAGTCTGGATGTAGAGAAGCAAGAGTGCGGGGCCAAAGGCAGCATGCATTCTGAGCTCGCTGAAGAGAAGCCAGACCATCTAACTTGCGAATGGTTAGCAGCGAATGGTGGACGATAACCCGCACCTAATCCGTATATAAACTACATAGTCCTTACATAACCCTATATTATACCCCTATATGTTATGTTCCCGTATTCCCTACTCACCCCCAGTGAGCTAAGGTGGATGTTGAAGCCCATGAATTGCCCGGGCCATTTCCTCATGTTCGATGCAAGAGTCAGAAGCTACAAGGCCGGTTGCAAACTAAATGGGGGGATATAACATAGTGTCGTATGGGTGGTTGTCAAAATTGTGGTCCCTTTTTGGATCCCTATTTCAATACAGCACCTAATAATTAGGGTACCTAAAAAGGGACCATAATTTTGACATCCACCCATATAGTGACTATTTAAGGGTAATATAGGGAATATATTGCATACGGATTATAGTTGAAGGGATGTTTACTGCCAGACCGTTGCATACCGTTGCTCAAGGAGTAGCCAGAAATGTATGGTAGTTTCCCAAAATAGGGGGACCCCAATATAGACCCCAAAATAGTATAGCCCTTATTATGAGGACCCTCCAATAAGGTACCCCTAATTTTGGGAAACCCCCGTACGCGTGCAAGGAGTTGCCCTTGCGCTTTGCTGACTTCGGCGTGCTTCATCGCAACGAGGTCTTTACCGCCCTTCCACGCGGTTTAGGGTTTTAGGGCTTAGGGTTTTAGGGTTTAGGGTAGGGTTTAGGGTTTAGGATTTTAGGATTTAGGGTTTAGGGTTTAGCGTCTAGGGGGTTTAGGGTTTGAACAGCGCTTGGATGGACTCTTTGTTCTTCTTGGACCGGTTTGAGACGGAAGCCTTTGGACAACAATCCGAATAACAATAATACTAGTAAGAATACTAACAACAGCAATAATAATGATAATAATCTGGGTTGCTGCTAAGGAACGTAAACTAATCTACTAAATACGGAAACCTTGTTATTTGCTGCTATATATCCATATTCTGGAAACTCAGTTTAAGTTCTTTAACAGCGACCCAGCAGTAACAA